GTAGTGAAACCCGTGGTGAAGGATTCTTCTCAGCCTCCCCAATTAATTAAAAACCCGACAAACTCGCTGTTTATTTTATACGTACTTCCTGCTGTCTACAGGTCACGGAATGTGAAACCTATGAGATGGAAGTGGAGATTATTAGTAACCACTACGTACGGACTTCGTTCGTCATATCCTCGCTACTGCTAAGCAGGACAATGGGCAAACTCTCGATTATTTCGTTCATACATTAAAGTTTCTTGCAAGGGATTAGTTTTAGGTGAACTAGGACGAGATGATGACCCCAGAGATGCATTTATTATTAGAGTTCAATCGAACCAGATCAGATGTTCACTGGGAAAAAGTTTGCTGAATTTGCTAAAGGCCTATGGTCAAGCGAGAGACCTAGAAATGGCAGAGCAACGAGCTATGGCTTATCACAACTTTCCCACCGCTTACCAAAGCGGCTAGGAGCGCACTCTCCTCATTCACTCCAACCCTGCCACAAGTCTCCGATTGAGTGCCCTAACGATAGCATCGTTACCGCAGTCCGCCCTGTTTTTTTTTTCTTTGGCCCCGATAAGCACTCCTACTCGAAGTGCCCCGTATGAGAAAGTCTTTGTAAGACTTATGATAAAAAAGTGCAGTTTAGCTCCAGAGTCCAGAAAATTGCACATTCGCTGCAAGCCTATCTAAATCGACAACTATTGCGACTAACTCTCCTACATGCCACTTAAAATCTGTCGTGGATCTCGAAGTCAATGGACTTTCTTGCCGTACGCTCACAGTGGTGTCAAGTTCCCCATTCAGCAGTACGACAGGCCGTTTCATCTGCACCTAATACAAAAGTCGTGAATCATCTATGCTGAGTGACATATGTTCGGATATTCTTATCTGACAAGACTTCTACCTTCACATTTCATTTGACGGAAAAGATTCCGTTTGCGGTCTGCTCACTTAAGCCTGCTTAGTGTCTCCGACACTTAGAGAATATCTGTGCAGTGTAAGCCTGTCATTACAGAATACCAACTATTCAGCGGGGAAGACCAGTGTTATAAACTCATGTATTACCGCATTTCACATTGAACTACATTAATGTTAAAAGATTTAAGTCCGCATTTGGCCAGACTCCTCTTCCCAATTACTCGGCATTACCCGAATATAACGGAACGTCCTTTCCGCCCCGAACGCTTCAACACTGACATTCATTCTCCTCATTCTCAGCCGAGCAAATGGATCCACTGGGTGGACACCGACAATTTTTCAACGGTAGAGATCCCCGACATCGATACAAGAGAACTCCTTATCAACTTGACCTCCCAAGCGATCTACCGCCAAGTTACCGATTGCTCTACCTACGAGGTGCAACGAAACACAGAAGCTCTGGTTATCAAACCGAAAAAGAAGTCTTTGAGCGCCACATATTAGCTACAATTAAACAGGAACATGGACAATCACTTGATCAGTTTCTGCAGAAACTTCGCAACCTCGCTGGTGACTGTAACTTTCTGTTGAAAAGCATCGCGAGGAGGTTATCTGCGACGTATTCAACACAGGACTATCTGATAACACTCACCTTCGGCTTTTGGAGAAGTAAAACCTTCATCTTCAACATGCATTCGAAGAAGCTCGCATGCTCAACAACAATCACAACTCTGTGATTCGTCCTCCTATCCTATGCGGTGTCCCATCCACGCAGGATGTAACAGCTTCGGCTCCTCTAGAGGACGTTCGGAGCCCCAACCCGAAGGGCAGTTGTGTGCGATTAAGACACCCTCGCTGCAAATATCCCGCATTTCAGGTGGGAGGAAGGGGCACTTCCAAGGGGGGTCTGCCGATCCAATCCCAAAACCAAAGCCACAATTTCAATAAATCGCAGCATCTCATCATTCATCGCTACATCATCCAGTGGACTGTCTAAATCTACATTACTAGTTCAGGTTATTGGAGTACCGCTGTACGCGCTTATGGACACTGATAGCTGCGAGTGCTAATTATAATCAGATAATCCGGCGAAATACACCTGGTCTGGGAAGCCTTCTAAAAGCACCATATTCATGGCTTTAAGGCGCTTTTTTTGTATTGTTAAGACCTTGGCAACTTGCCATTCTGTTGGAGTGAGTCATGTTCTGGTCTCACTGGACCCTTTGGTTCATGGCATCGGTATTTTCCTCTCAGATTGTCAGTCACACCCTTCTCCACGGAGAACATCCTGTCTGTCGACGGTCCTAGCCCACAACTAGACTCAATCAACTTGCGGTTGTTTGGTGCATCTGTTCACGGGGGACATCCTGCCGCACACACGAGCCAAGCATCTCTTACTGCTCGTCATGAATTTGGAAGTTTTCTGACGAAATCCATCCACTTGCACACCACTCGACCTTTCCGATTACTCCCCTGTGAAGCAAGGCCTCAAGCATGAACCAGCAACGGTGAGCCTGGAGACCATTCGCTTTAATATCCCGTTTGTCATCGAAACTAATGCCTCGGACGTGGCGATGGCTGCTACAGTGAATCAGCCGAGGCGCCCTGTGGCGGCCTTCTATGGGACATTAACTCAAGGGAAGAAACATCATTCAGTAGTTGAGAAAGAAGAGTAAGCCGTTTGGAAATGGAGCCATATGTTACTCGGCAATCATTTTAAGCTCACCACCGATCAACAGCCTGTCTCCTTCAATTTCGGAAATCAGCACCATGGAACAGTCGATGGCGAGTGAAACTCTTCTTACAGATTTGATGTTGTTCATAGTCCTGGAAAGTAGAATACGACCGCTGAAGTACCGAGCTGAACTTGCTGTGGAGCTCTCCTCGCGGTAATGAACCTCAGGGAACCTGATGATTCACAAGGGGTCTCTTGTATTTCCCGATTTAAGTACAAAATGTTTTCATGCACGCTTGTGCCGAACAAATCTCGGTACAACAATGTTCAACCTTTACCTGGAGCAGGACAAGATGCTTAGGGACCTTCAGTATGATTTCTGATCCCATCCACCGGTGACCTGGCGCTCATTTAGCATACCTAGTCAGCGACACTCGACAACCACTGAGAAACCCATGTCATTGGATACACCGAAAGCTTTCGATCGTGTCTGGTACGCAGGTCTGCTGGCTAAACTACCCGTTAGGCTTTTCTTCGCAACCTTTGTCCTAGACGGCAAGCTATCTTAATGACCGCATTTCCGTTCGAGTAGATGAGACCAAGTCTCACTTCGTGCCTGTGGATGGTGGTATTACCCAGGGTTCTGCCCTTCCCCTTCCTTTTTTCTGATGTTTGTTGATGACCTATCTCAAATTGAAATCTCATTCACACTTTTGCCGATGGCCTTACCCCACATCTTTCTTTCTCCTGTTTCTCTCCATGCATCGATAACTGCATTAGGGATGACCGCTCCTTCCTATTTATCCCTAAATTTGATCTGTGCCTCATTTCTGATTGGGGGTTGTCTCAACCGTGTTATCTATAACGCCAATAAAACTTCCGTTGCGTCAATTTCTCCTGAACACGCATTTCTTCCCTTCATTCAATTTTAACTCGACCATTCTCCGCCCATGTTCGTGCAGCCTATTGTGACTTTGGTTATCTTCTTTATGGTCATCAAATCGGCTGTTTTTCGAGCCAAACTTCTTCCCCCCCCCCTTCCATTCACCTCCTCTCGCTTTACAATGTTCAGACTCGCTCCACACTTGAATACTACAGTCACGTGTGTTGGAGCCTCGTCCATCCCTCTTTTCTTGATCGGGTTCAACGTAGGGCCATCTATCTGATCAACGATCGGCCCCTAACATAACTTCCAATCACTACCTCACCATCGGGCAGTCGTTCCTTTATCCTTATTTTTACCGAGACCACATTGGATTTTATTCTAGTGAATCTGCCACTTTTGTCCCTTTCCCGTTTGTTCTTCCTAGTTGATCCCTCACATAAGCGGTTAGCCACCCATTTCAAATGACCACGCCCAGGTGTTGTATTTGACTTTCAATCTCTTACCCAAGAACGGCGGAACTGTGGAGCACTCTCGTCCTTTCAGTCTTCCCTTCAACTTACATCCTTGCCTTTAAACGCAGAATCAACAAGCTGGCTCCAACTTCCCACATGCAGTATATCCTTGAATTGAGGTTGACCCTTTTTACCGTATTCAATTATGTGCAATAAAAATCAAGATAAAACTTCAACAGAGGTATAAAAACAATGGAGGCCGCAGATGATAAACCATACCTCAAACCGGTAAGTGAACGAACCTGACGATTAGCAATTTCCGCTTTCTTAGCCTCCACGAGGGCAGCCGGAACACCCTCCGGGTTTTGCATCGCGGAAAGCAGTAGGTCCCATAGCTCCGACAGAAAAATGCGTGCATTTTTGCTGTTTAGAAAGCCAGTAATGTTGATCTGAATTTCCTTAGGATCCGGGTACTACAATTTGAAAAGAAAAAAGAAAAAGTGAGCACTGGAATCAAAAATGATGAGTAAAAAGTTATCATTATTATTAATCACAGGACAGGGGATAAATAACGGGTGGAATGATAACGGGTACCGGCAGCGCACTTTGTGCGTCGCACGAGGTCAAGGTCCCACACGATTGCTTGAAGAGGAACACGTCGGACCTGAAAATTCAATCAAAATTCATTTTACAATGACGATACAGTCTAATAAGAAAAGGAGTTTAAACGGCACAATAACCACTATGAGAAATTAAACAGACAAAAACCATTATTGAAGGCAAACAATTTTAATCCAATTATGAAGCTAACTTGGTCAAAACATTGGACGAACAGAGCGAAAAGCGTGGAGTTACAAGCTTGTGATTTGGTTAATCACGACAGTCAACATAGAAAACTATTACGGTCCATCAACTGCCCCTGAGGAGTAACAGCGGCAGACTAGTGACACCACGGATATAGCCACCAAAACAGTACCAGCTCATATCACATCAACTAAAGCATACAAGGTATTCTCTTCTTGTGCGTACAGCAAAAACAGGCAGGCAAATACTGGTTGCAGTACTGACATTATAGCACAGATGACTGATTGATCAACTTTTACGAAAACGGTTCACTGGCAACCAGATCACTGGTAACTCGTCATAACTTAAGTTATCAAGTTTCGAGTGAGCACTGCCACGAAAGGACGAGTTTCGAAAAATGGAAAGTGATTGACTCAAGCACAACCACTATTGACAATTTAATCCTACGGCAGTCACCTGGTTGGCACAAGTTTTTCTGATGGGAATTGTGTATTAACTGTTATCGCACATTCAGACGTCATTACTACAACAGTGGGAACCGAAGTTCCAAGGCAATTAATTTGAACTAGCGGACCAAAAATGTGACGCGATTAACGATGAACACCAACACCATATCTCCTACTTAAATATGCCAGTATATACCGCATAGAAAAACTAGCGAATGAAATCAAAAATAGAGGCAGCCTTACCCGTTCGTCCAGCTGGTTGAGAACGTAATCCCACACCACTTCGTCTTCAAAATTCAAAAGCTCAGTTATACGTCTGATTATCCACGGTTTGATGCAGTCCAGGTTGACTCGTGTCATGTCAACCTGCGGCAAATAGATGATGAAGAGAACGAACAGTTTACCTTTTGTGACAGATTTTCACCAAACTTCATTGTTTTCATGAGCTTTTTCTTTTTATCTGAAAACCTTGCATCCTGTTCAGCGCTAGTGCCCTAATTTATTTGTCATGTACTAAAAACGTCGCAACCAACCTTAAAGAAACCAGCGTCCGTCATCCTCCAGTTAGTCAATAAAACGAACCAAAATGGAACGCAACGTGTGGCAAAACTGGTTCAAACAAACAAGGACAGTTTAGTTCAGTTCTCACAGGACGAATTGTGGCTCTTACCATCAGAGCCTCCAGATTTGTGTGTT